CCAGCAATCACTGTGCGAGGGGCGGGGTACACCCTGGACGGGTCGCAAGTCCATCACAGGGACACATAGAGACAAACGAGACAAACAACCATTCACTCTCTCACTCACACCTAGGGACAATTTAGAGTTACCAATCAGCCTAACATGCATGTTTTTAATCTGTGGGAGGAAACCAGAGTACCCGGAGAAAACCCACGCATGCACCGAGAGAACATGCAAACTCCACCCAGAAAGGCCCCTGGACTGGGGTTTTGAACCAAGGACCTTCTCGCTGAGAGGCAGCAGCTCTACCAGTTGCGCCACCGTGCTGTGTAACCCAGACCAGATGTGGTAATTTAAGCTACGGGGACACAAGTCATGATGTTAAGGAACTGCCTGCAGAGCTTAAAGACAGAATTCTTGTTTGGAAAAAGGCAAATAAAATAAAAAAAAACCTGAAGGTTCCCGAGAACTAACTGGCCCCCAGAAGTTTGTCACAGCCAAGACTCTTCCAAGACTTGAAGTAAATGAGATCTGAATCTTTTCTGAAGCCACTGCATGTAACATGTTTACTTTTAAAATAGGGTTATCGCTTTCATCAACATTGAACAACCATTTTTTAAATGAAAGTTAAGTCAAGATCAACAATGTGGTATTTAAAAATGAGCTGACTTGTGGGAAATGTCTTAATCTTTTTACATTTTAAGATAAAATACAGTTTAAACACAACACTGATTTTAGTCCTCGCATATGTTTTCATCTGTTTCCTCCCTGTTGGGTCAGAGGTGTCGCTCTGTGTTGACTGTGTAGGAGGAGAGTTGTTTTTTTCTTCTTCAAAATCCTCTATTTTATTCTTTACCACACTGAAGATTAAATGAAAAAGCAGTGGATTGCAAAAGTATCTGTTTCCTGAAAATTAATAATTTTTTAATTAAATGTAGGTAATCAAGAAAAATACTTCAGATTAGATTAAATAAGGAATTCTGTGTTGAGAAATGGAGTCATAGCCATTTTGGTCAAATCTAGAAAATATTGTTTTTCATGATCTTGAGCAAGATCTCACATAATCTTGTATAATCTGTTGGCACTCAAATGTGTTGTGGATGACTCAGATACAGCCACACCTCATTTGTACAGTTTCTAAAAAACTGACTTTCTCCATGTTGTGTTGGCTAAGATTGATTTAACTATGGTGGCCATCTTAAATCAGGTTCACTCAAAAAAAAGGTAATCAGGTGTAGAAGTGCAGCCGATGAATAAATTCTAAGTCTTTCATTAAACGTGTTCAAGCGTTCATGAATTATTTTGCCAATATGACAAAGGCACGGGCAAAAACATTATTTCCTACTTTGTGATACAGGTTGATATTCATGTAGCGCAATAGTGGTGCACTTGTATGTATTCACCCCCTTTGTTTGGAGCCTAAACCAATCCCATCAGAAGCCACATACAGTAGTCCCTCGTTTATAGTGGTGCATCCATCAATCAGCCAGTTGTGTGTCATATCCAGTCTTATTTTGAAAAACTGTGATAGAGCGAGTACGCGATAAACAAACAACAAAGTAGCGACCATTATACTAATGTATATTAAATTCACCTGTGGGCAATCTGTGTCAAACGGTTTCAGTATGTGTACACCTGATCTACCAGTATAACACATCTAAGTAGCAATACTTTTGCAACCCACTGTATGCATCACAAAACATGTTTGACAACTTTTTTTGTCCTGGATTTAATTTGTTTAGAGGACAATGAAGTTCTGTTAAAATGTTTAGGATTGCAAGCAAATATCTGATAAATTTAGAGTTGTCTATCTTGTCGACATTGATTAAACATTTGATAATCTTTAGATATTTCAGTTTCAACTTTTAACATGCAAGGCTATTTGATAAGCCTAACTCATTGGAGTGTAACATACAACCATATTTGTTCTTGATGGAACTGAATGATTTGGTTATATGTCACACCTCAGTCTAACAGAAACACAATGAGGATGTTTGAAAAATGGATGGACGGCTGCTGGCAGAGCTGGTGTGTGTTGGTGGCGTGTGTTGGCAGTGCATAGGGCTGTGGGTCTTGAAGTAGTTTAACCGGTTTAAATCTGGGTTTACTTGTTGTGTCAGGTCTCAGCAGGTTAAACTTTTGTCACTTGCCTGCCTTGTCATACACGAGCAGTAATGTTGATTGGTCATTGGTGGGTTACAGAGCTCGGAGAGTCAAAGAGACTGCAAAACAAGGCGAGGATATAGCACTATCGGTAAGAAAAGAAAAAAGTAATATCCAAGTACACTGTTGGTATCAGCAGCCTCTCTTTCACATTCTAAAAAAAGTCCTTAATCTACGCACAGATCAGCCACAGCATTAAAACCAACTGAATAAAATTCAATGGTTAATAGACTGTACAGCACTTTTCTATCTAATCAGGATACTCTAAGCTCTTTACAACACAGTCTGTACCCTCATTTACCACTACACACATTCATACAGCACTCTACTACACACATTCATACAGCAC